AAAGATGTATGTTATGAATATTGATGATAAAATTGAACATCCATAACACGATGCTAAATGACGCAAGACTAAAAGAATACCACATCTGTGTGGCACTGCATTTAGTTACATTGGATAAACCAGCATGGGGAAATTCCATAGTGATGGATTTTGAAGTCATCTGATTATGAATCATCTGACACTTGCAACTTTCGTTCAATTAGTGAAGTAAACTAAAATATCGTTCATAGGAAATAAAGAACGGGCAACAAAGTAGTTGGAAATGTGCATATTGATGTGCATAGTGCAATAAGTATTGTTGCAAGTAGTGGATTTATCTATCTTCAAGATGACTCAAGTATATATTTATATTTACTTATTGAGACATAAATCTGGATCCTTTGAAATGTTTTAGAAGATTTTCAGAATGAAGTAGCATTTCTTGTAACAAGAAAATTATGTTTCTTCAATTTGACTGTGGAAAGAAGTATTTGAGTTACAAGTTTGGCACATGCCTAACGAGTTGTAAAAAATGTTTTATAGCTTGCACCTCCTAAAACACTGCTAATAGTAGAATGTTTTGATCATATAGGTTGGGTTACCACCATGACAACTCGTGTGAGTCTCATACCCATCTCCCTCAATGCACTTTCTATTACAACATGTGATAGTCCTTTAGTAAAGGGATCTGCTAGATTCTTAGCCGACCGGATGTTTGCTTGCAAGACTTCCATAAAATAGTGTCACCTCTAAGTGTAAATACATATCCAGTTGTAGAGTTCATCTCATTAACATCAGAGATCCCAATTCCCATCACTATACCCTTCAATTACCGATGGGTATTCGGTATAGTGAAGCGTGCAGAAACCACTTCTCTTCTCAAGCTCCAATAACATGTGGAAAAAGAGCCCATTATAAAGAGGTGCACGTCTTTTTCTCCAAATCCGGGTGGTACTAAACTTCCACCCGAAATCACTAATTTAGGAGTACTTTTGCAAAGGTCTCTCCCACAACCCTGGGTTGCGACAAGTGGCACGCTGCATGTGCGTCACTTGTCACAACCTCGGAGTTCTACCTGTTTCCATAGATTTGTTTATTAAAAATGTTTTATCTCTTAAACCGTGCGTTTGAATCTCAAACCGTTTTCATCATTGGATTCCTCGCGTCGACATCTTCAATCTAGATCGCATGTTGACAGTTTTCAATGAATTTTTTTATGAAAAAATCCGAATCAGGAGCATGTTCTTTTTTATTTCTGAAGAGGCACAACTGTGACTCTCGGGGAAGCAAATTTGTGCCTCCACGAGAAGCAAATCTCTGCCTCTCGCGGAAAAAGGAAAACACATATTTTCCTTTTTTCCGAGAGGCACGACCGTGCCTCCATGAGAAGTAAATTTATGCCTCTCATGGAAAAAGAAAGAAAACATTTTTTCCTTTTCCGGGAGGCAAGACTGTGCCTCTCGCAAAAGCAAATTCGTGCCTCCACGAGAAGTAAATCAGTGTCTCTCGCAGAATAAAAAATATAGGTGTCTTTTTTCTTCTTTCGATAGGCGTGATTGTGCCTCTCGCAGAAGCAAATACCACGAGAAGTAAATATGTGCCTCTTGCGGAATAAAAAAGCACATTTTTTTTCTTTTTCAAGAGGCACAATTGTTCCTTACGGAAGCAAATCCGTGCCTCCTCGAGAAATAAATCCGCCCTTCAGCGGAAGGAAAAAAAATGTATTCTTTTTTTCAGAAGCATGACTGCGACTCTCGTGAAAACAAATTCGTGCCTATATTTAAAAGAAATATGTGCCTATCACAAGAAAAGAAAGCATTTTCACACAAAAAATTGTTTTTCTGTCCAAAACCTAAGAATAACGAAAACCCTGAAAAGCTGCAAAACAAAAAAATATATGAAAGCCATAAATGCGTACATACAAATAAATAAATAAGAAATTCAGAGGGAGCCCCTGGAGCACGGCCCGTGGCGCCGCATAGCCTACCAAAAGTTGACCTTGGGAGGGCTCGTGAAGGAGAACTCATTGAGTAGTTGCTCTACCTTGCATCATTTCCTTTGTCGTGACACGAGTGTGTTCTTAGAGATTTTTCTGAAATTTTAGGATGGGTTTAGCCCATCCATATTTCAATATTTGGTTAATTAATTTAAATGTTTAATTTCAAAAAAAGTAATATTTTTAGCATTAGTGCAGACACAAGCGCTTACATACATGCGCATACATTTACCCCTATGAAGCACACACGCACACCCTACCCCTATGAGCATCTCTGAGAGACTGAGCCGGCATATCATCTTAAGATTTACGAATCCACTGTAGGCGCTTCGTCGTCGACGGGAACGTCTCCTCCCACTGAAAGCGCATCGCCGGAAATCTTAAAGTAAATCCAAGAATAATGCAAGCACCAGGATTTGAACCCTGAAGGGTTAAGGATACCACTGTCCACCTAACCATCTCAACTACCGGTTGGTTCGAAAAAAAAGTAATTTATTGATGACAGTGATAAATAGGAGAAATGAAAATACGGATAGGTCACTCAAGAAGTACACGAGCAGGCAAATTTGACAATTTTGACCTTTGAACGAAATCAATTCACATAATGAACTGGGTGTCAAACTATTTCACATCCCTGACCTTTTTGTGTAGCGCCTGCGACGCCGGCGCCACACCCTACGTTGCAGCGCCTAGCTAGCGGGCGTTGCACGCCAGTCCACCATGGCAGCCCTGGGGCCCGCACCCAGCTATGCAATGCCTCGGTGCTAGGCGCCACACAATGTGCAGCGCCTAGCCGTCGGGCGCTGCACTGTGAGTTATGTCCAGCCGCGCGGCGGTCCTCTCCTCCCCCACTCACCCATTGCAGCAGTTACAGAAAGAAAAGAAGCCGCGACGGCGGCCTTATCCACTCTCCCTCTCAATCCCCTCTCCCAAATCCTTATCCTCTTCTTTCTATCCATAGAAAATATTGTATTTTGAAGATTTGGGGAACCTTTGTTTGATTTGATTAGATTATAATCTTGCATGTACTAGAACTCTTGTTTGTTTGATTTCGGGAACCCTAGTTTAGTTTATTTTTTGAAAAAATATGGTTGGATACATAGGTTGACATGTTATTTCTATGGAAAATATATTTGTATGAAGTAGGCCTAGTTTAGTTTATTTGTGTTGAACTTATATTTGTTTTGACAAGAATGCTTTGGATACATATGCTTTGAATTTTGCATCTAGTAAATGTAGTTTAGTTTATTTGTATTCGAAAGATAACTGCATTGACAAGAAAGTTTTTTTTTTGAATTGTTAGGATGATCACGACCGAATACCTTCTCGAAAGCTTCAGCCTCCTTCACCGTGAACCCCTCCGCATCAACTTGTTCGTCGGGACCATCATCATCCGAGTCCGATGCATATGCACGAGAAAAAGGGATGGAATGGTCCATTGTCTCTTGCAAATGATATTTGTCGAGATCACCCACATTGTTGTCATGGAGATCAACTTCATTGTCATCGTCCGCATACTCATCATTCTCCTCTTGCAAAGCTTCATGTTGGTTGCTTGTAAACGGGCTCAATATTGGCCTCACTTCTTGGGTCAAAAGAGGTTCAACAATTTCATCTCGCTTCAAGGGTGGGGGGATACTAGCAACCAAAGGGGAAGGGCTCCGGTTCAAGTCCAAATGCAACCTTGAATCAACCTTCTTCGTTGCAAATAACTCAAGAGCCTTGTCTAGTGATTTGGCCACCGTCTCCTTATATGCAACCCAACGTTGCTTCGCAACGGATGTGCATTCCAAAACCAACATTATGCCTTCCTTCCAACTCAACAATATCACTAGAGTCCATCCAATTCAAATCTTTCCTAACTTGTTATAAGAGCTCCGCATAGCTAGGACTACTATCAAACACCATGTCAAGCTCATCCGGGTCCGGTTCAATATTGCCTTTCAAGAAGGCGTCTTTGTCCCCATGATGAACAAACACACATGTTCTTTCCATCCCTATAAGCATTCAAAGAACACAAGGTAACATTGCTTCCATGAGTACTAATCCAAGGATACAAACCCTAATATATATATGAAACAACAACCCTAACCCTAACCATAACCATAACCAAAACCATAACCCTAACCCTAAACCTAACCCTAGCACCAACATAAAAACACCCATAAGAATAACTCTAACATACTAACAAAGCCTAATCATAGGAAAATGACAAACAAACATCTCACATCTCCATACAATCTCTAGATCCAAACAAAACTAGGGTTTCCCCAAACTAGCAACAAATGAGCAATTTGATAACATTACTTGGATCGAAAAAGGGGATCGGAGAAGATTACCTTGAGGGAGGGTTTGACTTCGAAATCCACAGACAAATTCTTCAGATTTGCAAGATTTGGGAGAGGATTTAAGAGGGGAGAGAGTGGGAG